GCTTTAAAATTATTTTAGTGTATGTTGATTGATGGACAAAAATTCCATCTTTCATATACTCAATTTGTAGACCAAGACAAAATTTTGTCTTTCCAAGATCTTTCATTTCAAATTCTTTCTTTAAACAGTCTAATGCTTTAGGAAGCTCCCCAGGAGATCCAATAATATTTAAATCATCAACATACACGGCGATTATAACAAATTCAGATCCAGATCTTTTTTATAAAGACACAAGGACAAATTAAATCATTTTTGTACCCTTCTTTCAATAGGTACTCACTCAGGCGATTATACCACATGTGCCCTGATTGTTTCAATCTGTATAAGGATTTTTGAAGCTTTATTTAATAAATTTCTTGAAAACCTTAATATGCTTCAGAACAATTTAAATCCTTCAATGATTTCCATTATACGCATATTAAGTTTTTTTATGTATTTCCAGATTAAAACCTCAATGACTACATCCACCACAGGAGAACATGTCTCTATATAATCAATGACAGGATATTTACAAATCTTCTTGTGACACAAGTCGTCTTGATGTCTATCGACTTGACCTTTGTTTCCGTATTGGGACTATCCATCCAACTTCATATTTTTCAGGTGAAATCAATTTTCATTGTGTATTTTTCATTTGGCTAATCATTTATTTGTCCAAATTTCATGACAGATTTGAGCTCAAGATCCTCGTCAATATTAATAATATTGAGCGCTACATTACGTCGACGGTTACTTTATATCGGTTCTATTATTACCCAATAACTTATTGAAATCTTTTTATCTCATTATTTTCAGGTACATGAGCCTCTCCCATGAGGTCTTATGAAGTGCTATATCGTGGTGCTCTTCTAGAGCACTTGCCTCCTTATTATGACCATCTTGAACATTTTCTCCTCTCCTTCTTCAGGGAGTTTTATCTTTGGAACCGATTAGTCTATTATGCTTTATGCATGCCATAGACTCTATGCCATTATGAACTTTATTTTATTTGGAGCATTAGCAGCTGAAATATGACATTTAGCTTTGGGTCAGCAAATACGCCTGACAATATTTTGCAAATGAATTATCACTTGAACTTCAAGTTCACATTTTCTCGTAAGAGGATCTAGATGTACTCATAATAATTCATTACATACATTACATTTTCAGCTGCCCATTTTTTCCCCCTATTGTTGGGATCACCAACACATATCCCTAGTCTTATTTGGGGATCCATCTTTGTGCATTGCGGCGTAACACTTAAATCATATAGCACATTTATATTTATATATGAAAATTATTTGATTTTTGACCCTGAACCGATTGTGATAGAAAAAACTTATCATAACTTGGCTAGATGCGTGTAAGTGATGTTGAATATTAAATAATACATCACATACCAAATTTTATTTTGATAGTTTTGTTCTCATAACCAATGGTTTAACTATAATTGGAGGCATACAATTTATGCTAAACTAACTTTGATTTAAACCAGTATTATTAAGATAAATTATCATAATTTATATTCTGGAACTGTGCCCTAATAATTTGAGTAATCAATCTTGCAAAAGACAAACCGCAAGTTGATAACAAATGCACATGTGACCATAGAATAGGTGCATCTATTAAAATAATATAATAGTAAACGGTCCACATGGAAGGTGACTGAGCCCATATATTTATCACCTTTTATTCATTACAGAAATCAAGGGATTCAATCCTAACCTTAACTGGTCTATCATGAGAATAAGCAGCACAAGAGAATTCTTGAAGAATCTTATATTTCTTCAATATATGCCAATGTAATTCTCAATTAATTTTTTGCATCAAAATTGAACCGAGATGGTTAACCGATCATGCCAACTAATATTTATTTCAGTAAACCTCTAGTTTACTTGTGGCTTGTGATTGCATCATCATGCTTATACTTGTGTAGTACAAATAGAAGAAAAGTCAGGTAACCTTTCAGATTTACCCGGTATGATTATAGTAATATAAAGATATTCAATCTTCTTTTCATTTATAGTCTCAATATGCCAACCACTTTGGCTAATATATTTGTAAATCAAAATTTTTCTCTTGAGACTTACTACAATATTAATGTCATGAACAATTTCATTCATCCGGGTAGTAACAAATTAGTTCTTTCAAAGTTCTTAACTGCTTTTGTACTACAACATCTTTTGTCACACCATCGATATAATGAATGTCTCCTTCACAAAGAGAATCATATCATGATAATTGTCATGTTCAAAATCATCATAAGCAAAATAATTTCTTGCTTTAATTTTGCTTTTAATAACTTTTATAAGGCATGACAAAATATTTTTGGCATATCACATGTATGCGACTAATGATATATTCATGTAACTACACAGTAATATTCATTATCTTTCTTTGTCTCAAACCTCCCTTAGAGGTGGGTTGTAGTATTTATCTAACCATGCACAAGTACATTATTATGCATAATCTTTATCACATATATATTTTCACATTCACTTTCAGTAATGGGTATGCATTCTCAATGTTTATCACAAGTCACATTCTCTTCAAAGAATGGAGTATAATTATAGCGATGTGCTTTATTTTAATTTTTTTCATTCCAATTTGATGGTAAACATTGTCTTGTTCTCCCTTTTTATAATTACCATAGTGATAACTATTATTATTTTGGCCTTTCACACGCCTACTTTCATTGGTCAACCACTTGTCTTTATTTAGACTTATCATGCACTGCTATCACATTCACTTCGAGAGTGGAGCAAATCAAGTGGGACAAGCTTTATGTTTTTACATGAAAAATACATTATTTTTCTTTAGTTATTATTATTATCAATATGGTGTATTAGGACTCAAATCCAATGTCTTACTCATATAAAGGCATGCTAGGCCATAATGCGTTGGAACTTGAATCCAACGTCTTTTCATCAACATAGTGCGTTGAGACTTGACCCATCGTCCTACCCTCAATCTTTGGCATAATAGGCCAAAATTCACTAGGACTCGCACTCGAGCCTTTAAAATATTATTAATTCATAATTATAGGTATAAGTAAATTAACTTTCAAGAAGACATATATAACTATTTCAATCTTGAAACAGTTCCTCTGCAACAAAAATGCTAGTTAGGATATATGCCACTTTTTTTTTTTTGTAAATGATACAATCACTTTTACATTTTAATAAATTAATTAGGGTAAAGGTGTAGATAACCTATAACCACTTATATTTCAAAGACTATAAGAACTTAACCAAAAAAATCCAATACGGAGGAATGAGCCTTATATTTTCAGCAAAAATATTTAAGGCTTAATGCATAACCGTGACTATTATAAATTATAATTATAATGAGTTTATATTGATTGTATGTTTAAATGCCAAATTTGCAAGGTGCTATGAAATCGCCTACATATTTGATAATTTTTCTTTCAATGAAATACATCACGTAGGTAAAAATATTATTACTAAATTACCTTAATAATTAGCTAACATAGTATGTAAACGGTCAGAACATATATATACGTTGGAATATTATCTTTGTCCTATAAGAGATGTATCAGATAAAGACATACCTTTCCAATTCTTTATTGCACTGGATACAATTGAAAAAAATATTTTAACTAAACACCGCACATAAAGTTAATGCAAAGATGTGAAAATATGAATGGGTTTATATGGATGTAAAACTTATCTTTGTATTATCATCCAAGACATTTTTCATTGTACTTGATCTCATTGGCTGCTTATAATTTATATAGTCTTGACGTAGAAGATCGTGAAATGAGCAATTCGTGTTGATAACGTATTATAAAATAAAAGCAATTTAGTAAAACATGAACAAGAAATGGAGATAGAGAGAAGGAAGAGATTTTCTTCTTCAATTGTGTGTATTTTCTTATCTATTACAAGGTTTTTATATAGGCATGAAAAGTGAAGAAAAATATGTCATTGAATATGTCATTAAGCATTTGAGAAGATCACGGAGGAAGAGTAGACATCTACCATAATTTGATTTTTCTTATAATACATCCAAATATCTCATAATGCCAAGATTTAGTTCCAAAATGGCAATCCATGAAAGCTGAATCGTAGTTCCAACAGAGAATCCTTATGAAATCGACTTTCTTGTACAGTAAGTAACTAATAACTCCCCTCTAACATTATGACTAATACAAACCATATGCATTTCTGAGCAAGTATTTGACGTCGATATCAGTAAACAGATTATCATTCTGATTGTAATTAAATAATCCCAAAATGAGCAACATCTTCTTATTAGGCCATAGAAGGATTAACAAGATAATCAGAGGCACGCAAATGATTATCCCAGTTAATATTCACAGGTAGTTGTTTGTTGTCAAACAAACATATCCTAAAAGGATGTACAATCGAATACCTCGAAATGTTAAAGCCTTTAGACTAAAGTTAGCTTTTAGAAGGCAAATTATTATTATAATACCTAAGCAATTCGTATTAGTGAGCAGTCAGAAGCGGAGGCAGGATTTGGAGTTTATGAGTTCGGGATATTAGTCCGTTTAAGTTACTGGGTTTCAAATTAATAATTTGTTCATATTTAATGGATTTCTTAAGACAGATACATAGTTTGGACCAAAGCTACAGGGTTCGGCTGAACCCGTGTCTCGCATGCTAGCTCACAGCCCCTGCCACTTGTAATGTATTCCTTGATGCTAAGAACACGAAGCAATTTGACGACGATATCAGTACGATATAATGCAATTTGATGCTTAAACGAAATTTACATTCAGAATCAGAATCTTAAATGTAAAAGATCCTAAAATGCCCCATATATCTGAAGTCCATTCCGCTATTACCGTAGATAATCAACTAAATCGGACAACATAAGAACAGGGTAAAAACAATCTATTGTTTTACACTGTACTAAAGACACAAAGCACCAGCTCATTTTGTGAAATATGCTGAATAAATGGCATCTTTACAAATAGGATATTGACAAACAATGCATATTTTACCTAGTTGAGATTAAGTTTGAGAGTCCGGGAATGAATGAGTTTTGCAGGAATATGATTTCACAAGTTAATTACAAAATTTATGTACATTAACAGAGTAAGAAAAAAAGAAAAGGTAAATTATTTTTTCCTATCTTAGAAGCAAGTTGGATTTGACTGATCAGTTGTGCATATTTACTATGTCCAGAGTTATGCAATCCAGATATAGACAGGTGAAACGACGACCAACATCTCAGGAGCATACTCCATCTTAGCGATGGGTAGTATTGCTGAGAACAATAGAGCAAACACAAAACAGAAGTTGAAATTGTTAAAGGCATTCCTCAAATAAAACGATGGCCCTTCAGTACAGTAGAAATGACTTTCACCACCCTCTAAAACATTGTACACAAGCAAGTTGGTAACAAAGAATGTCCGCTTATTACAGCAGTCAACAAGAAGTGAGAGTACTTAGAACAATTTGTACAAGAAGTCGAGTCATCAGGCAGCACATATATGTGTTCCGGCGAGGGAAAAAAGCATGCCAGCAGCACTAAAACGGGCAAAGCTAATAGGTTAAGTGGAATTTTGAAATATCACAATTTCAGAAGGTGCAAGTCACAGCATACCTGGATGAGCTGATTTCGATGATTGTCCAACTGCAACAAGGTAACTTACGTCTTAGTATTAATAAAGAAGTTAAATCAGCAATGAGTAACCTGAATATTGATATAGTACTCTGTGTCATCAATATATTCCTGCAACTGGATAAAGAAACACCAGTATCACTATTTAGTTCGAAATGAATTCATTATTTCGTTTTTATGTATCTTTAATGGCAGCCAAGTTCCTCCATGCTCTATGCATTTTCTTACTGTTATCAACTTGTTCATCGTGCTTTCAATTTGCACAAAGTAAGCCTGCAGAAGTATGCAGTTTTTCAGCACATGTATGTCGTGATTATTTCCAAAAGTTCTGATAATACTAACTTCAAGCAACATCTCAACTTCAAACGACTCATCTCCGAAACAGAAAACTTGACCCTTTCATTTGATAAAAGCAAATGCTCTTCATCCCCATCTACATATTTCACNCTCATCTCCTCAAGTGAAACAGAAAACTTGACCCTTTCATTTGATAAAAGCAAATGCTCTTCATCCCCATCTACATATTTCACCTGCATTGGACTCAAAACTTGTTTCATACCCTTACCCGTCAAAGGATCAAACAAAATTTATACGAAAAGGAGCCAGAAAATCAATTACACGACCAGAGTACCAATCAGCATCTAATGGCCAATACACCTACCAACAAAGACTCTGCAATTAGTCTCTTAAACTACAACAACAACAACCCAGTAGAATCTCACTAATGGGGCCTGGGAAGGGTAGTGTGTACGCAGACCTTACCCCTACCCCAAAGGAGTAGAGAGGCTGTAAAGACAAAACGACAAGAGAATACAACATTAGTATCACCACAACAATCATAGAAAAAATAGGAATACCATGAAATGCAGAATAAAGATGCAAAGCAAAAAGTACACAGCACATTCTAATCATTCTAAGTTTGATCAATTCACACCTTACATTGTAGTCCAATAAATTTCTTGGGATCAACTCCTTCAAAACTCAACCGGTAAACCGCACAAACCCAAATACTTTCATACATGATAACACATACATACGAAGCATAAAATTGAACATGGGAAAAAAAGGTACCAAACCCATTTCTTGGTGCGAATTAACCCTGAGCTTTTGCTACTCAAGTGATTCTTTAAAACAGAATTTTCTTTTCGCTTCTTAATGTTGTTACCCCTAAAGTTAGAATCTTTACAGTCATTATTACAAGCACTATTTCGAGTTTCTCTCAAACAAAACTCATTCAACATAACACTATCATCCACTCCCAAATTTGCCAGCTCCGAACTACCCACCTTCCTCCTCTTCTTCTCCTTCTTCTTATTATTATGCTTCACAACCACTACTTCATCATCTTCTTCCTCATTGTCCCTCTCACTCTCGACACACATATTCACTACTTCTAAATTCCCCACCTTCCTCTTCTCCTTGTTCTTTATAACTACTTTGTCTTCTTCGCCCTCGCTTCTTTATATGCCCAAAGTTTCATTTCCTAGAGCTGTGGGGAAATCCTTTTTATCTGAGTGTCTCCCTGTTGCCTGAATAGATTTTTGCTGTGCTTAAGCCCAACTCCACAAGCAAATTTATCGAATTAAAGGAATTTGCTTGTGATTCCTAATTAAGACTTAATTGATTGAAAGCGGCTAACAAGCATAAAATACAATGTACATACAGGACTTAAACTCTTTATGACTAAGTAATTACGTATTTGAATAGGAGCAAAACTGAATAATTAGCACATTTTCTGTTAAATAGCTACAATGCCCTAACGTAGTCGAAAGACACCAACCTCTTATATATTGATGTGACCTTTGCAAAAACTGAAATATTTTCTGATGAAAAACAGTTTAGTAACAAACTGAAAAATCTTTTTTTTTTCAACAGAATTCTTCTTATGAAACAAATAAATCAAATTGTCGCAAGAATCTGTAACACAAGCAGAAAGATCTGAATTCACAGTTTTTGGCAGTGCTCTTGTGTTAGTTTTATCCAAACCTGTTGAGGCTGTTCTTGGTCCAAAATACAATTTGGGCCTGGCACTTTAACTTTTAGAAAACCACAAAATACTCGTTAGACCAAGCACTTTGAAGGTTTGGTGGAGAAGCCAAATATCTTGTTAAAAATAAAGCAACCTCAAATGTAACAAGAAGATTTATAGGAGCATCGTAGAGAAGCACAGTTGCTACTATCTTCTGAATTTCTCACAAATAACAGCTCCAATTAGCCTAAGATAGCTCAACTATATTAGCTCGATTTTCTGACTGTCGCTTCCTCTTCACTGCTTTCTTAGAAGAATCCTTTTCTTGTCCCACAGCAGAAGCTCCATCTTCATCATCAGAACTTTCGTCGCTGCTGCTATCAGAAATTTCATCCTCATCACTTCTGTCTTCAGATTCTGAATCATTATCACTGGTAGCCAGATTGATTACGGGTTGGTAACCTGCTATTGCGGATTCAGCAGCTGACACAGCTTCCTGTGTGTGAAGCTCCGCGACACCCAACATTAAGTCCATCTCTATGTATTCAGATTCTTGCCCGGTAAGAGCTTCAATATCATATTTCTGAGGATTGTTCTTAGCAGCAAGCTCCAGGTTTTTATTATCTTCAGAAAGGACTCCCAAGAAATCCTTGATCTTTGATAGAACTTGGCTTTTGGGCACAGAAGAGATGTCGGGCTTCTTATCAGGTTTCAAATTTTGGGATTGAATTCCGGCATCTCTATTGCAAAAGAGAAGTTTTGATTCCAAGGGCAAGGCTTCAGCCTCCAAATGAAGCAGATCTTTGTTGTTTGACTGCATTGGCTAAATCTTTTCAGTTCAACTCAAGCGGAGAAAGTAGCCTGCAAATCAGAACCAAGGGCAACCCACTTGATGATCTCCTATATGTACAACAGAACGCCAAAGATCTGCTGCATTTGAATTAGATTTTCTGATTGTCAGAAAACGGGTTGGAATAGTGAATATCCAAACTTCAAAAGTGTAGAAATAGGAAAACAGCTATTTGAGAATGCAAGTCAACAAATACATATGAATAGGAAGCGAAGCTTTCGTCTTTCTACAGTGAAGCGCCAATTAATACAAAAAAAATTAAAATATTAAATTTGCATATATAAATAACCAAAAACTCAATACTAATAGTAACATCTTAGCAAATATTTCATGAATATACTGTTTAAGAGAGAAATTAATTGTAATTAAAGAGAGAAAAGAAAAATTAATTGTAATTGTAATTGTAATTATAGAGAGAAGTTAATATGCAATTAGTTGTATACAAAAACTGAAAAAATAAAATAAAAGATAGAAAAAGAAGAAGAAAGACGAGTAGAAAAGAGAGAAAACATAGGTGAAAGAAAACAAAGAAAGAGCAGTTATGCCGGAAATCAGTTGCTGCCGGAAAGAAGAAGAACAACGAAGTCTTACTGCCGGAAGAAGAAAAAGAAAAGAAAGGACTTTCTGCCGGAAAAGACGCCGGAAAACAGAGCCGGAAAAAAAAAAAAGAAGAGAAATCAGTACCAGAAAGTCGAAGAGGAGCTGCGGCTGTGCTGACTGCTGAAAGGGGAAGAAATGGTCTGAAGAGAAGAAACCCTAATGTTTAATTTAACTCTCTTGTTATTTTTATTATTATTATTATTATTATTTTACTTAATAATAACAATGAACACAACTTGAAAAGGTGGGTTCTTTAAAAAATCAACACACATGGCTGTCATTGGACTCGTCATAGATAAATACTTTGTAGTTTGGTTTGGATGAATTTTTTCCTAAAAAGAAATCAAATAAAGTTTTTTAAATATTGGAACCAAACTAAACCAATTAAGTCAGTTTTTTATCGATTCGATTTTTTGTCGATTTTGGTCGGTTTTTTGGTTATTTATCAATTTTTTTTTAAATATGAGACATATACTACTAAACACATATTCCGAAGACTACATTTTCTACATAACAGTGTCAAACCAATTATTCTTTGAGAAATCTATCATTTACCAAGATATATTGATGATACTTAAATCAAATAGTGATGAATAATTAAGTGTTCAATTAAAAATTGATTATTTTTAATATGAAATAAATTCTTGTACTTAGCAAANGCTACTTCTATAGTCGTTTCGATTCGGTTATTTTTTGATTAAAACCAAAACCAAACCAAATTTGATCGGTTTTTAAAATTCAAAACCAAACCTAAAAATTATCGATTTTCTTGGTTGGTTTGATTCGATTTTTCGGATTTTTATGAACACCCCCAGATAAATATATCAACTGGACTATTAGGGTTAATACTACTTTGGTACCTCAATTATTGATAAATTTTTATTTGGACCTTGTGATATGTGATTGAGCATATTTAACCTTCAATCAATTGAAATGTGTTCTTTTGATCTCTTTGCTTGTAGATATTCACAACAACAACAACAACAACAACCTAGTAAAATTTTACTAATGGGGTCTGAGGAGGATAGTGTGTACGCAGACCAAATTTCACTAATGGGATCTGGGGAGGGTAGTGTGTACGCAGACCTTACCCATATTCCAAAGGAGTAGAGAGGTTGTTTCCGAAAGACTTTCGGCTCAAGAAACTATAATTATTACGTAATTGTTTTGCCTTTAATTACCCTTGTTTTATGTTAAGCATGTGGTGTTAGTCCACGTATGACGGTAATATAGTTCTAAAAAGTCAAATATAATATATTTCTTGCTTAAAAGTACTAAAATATACATGTTAATTAATATATATCTATATTTATCTCTATATTATATTAAAAGCACGAGACCCTTAGCAAAATGTCATTCACCTTTTTTACCTTTTAAAAATAAATTTTGCATTAAATAAAATTATAATTTAAGTTACTTTCCTAATATTTAGGAATTTAGAATCAACTTAAATTTTATTTATTAAGAAAAAAAATTATTTATTAAGTTAGTTATATAGGATCAATAATCATCAATATTAGGAGCTTATATTTCTATTTTATAATTTAAACATAATTTGTTAATAATATTTATGAAACTAGTTAAATATTAAATATACTTAGTCAAATATTATAAGAAACAAAAATAAAAAACTTATAATAAATTACACGGTTACACCCGAATACAAAAAGATCCAACACAACTATAACACGTTATTCGCATGCTATGAAATCTTACACAAATATAATGATGTTATTTCCTATTTTCTTTTTAAAAAAATATTTAAAGCCGTTATATAATGAAAATTATGCATCAAAATGAACTAAATAAATTTATAATAATTTGGAACAGAACCATAAAAAAGTAAACTAAAACAAAAAATGCACAATTCTTGCATAATAAATATTACTATTTCTTTTACTTATGTGTTTGACCCGTATAAAAGTTATTACTAATAATTATTATATCTTATAAGTAATTTGTGGGTCATTTCGCATTTAAAAGATACATACTTGAAAAGTGTTATCATCTTTTAATCAAATGTGTGAATAATTTTTTTTTAACAAAAATATTTATCATTTTTCTTAAATCTTAGAAATTTTATACATACATAATTTTAGTATTGTATTTAATATTGATGGTAAGCTAGAAATTTGTGTTTTAGCTACATTTGACACTCTAATTACTACATTTTATTCGTGCCTGAGCTCAAATGACGATGATTTGCACTTATTACATATATTATGTCTTGTAGGAGGTGATTCCGAGTTAAGAAGCGATTTTGGAGCTAAGTTGGATAATTTGGAGCTTTAAAGTCTGAGTAAAAACCTAAGAAATTAAACCGAGATAAAGTTCGGGGGTCGAGGACCAAGTCCAGATGTTAAAAATTGAGAAGAAATTCTACTCTGAAAAAATTGAACTACTGCGCCGCATGGAGCACCGCAAGGTGCGGCGTGACAGTGCAAATGGAGGCCTGCCCGACAAAAACCCACTCTCTAAACTTCTCCACAAGCGCGGTGCATGGGGCATCACACTTGTGCATTTCGCCAGTTGAATTTTCCTTCTTCGGCTTGGAAATGGTAATTCGTTCGAATCCATTTTTAAATGGTATAGATACACCAAAAATACGATTTTGAGAGAACTTTTGACCTACGAATGATTGGAAAAGCAATAGAGACTCTAAGGCACAAGAATCTCATCTTCCATTAACTCAACACCCGAGTTTGATTGAATTCATGTTTGTTTACTTAAATTTATCTATGATGATTTCTCCTACTATTATGGAGTAGTTTTCTTTAGGGTTTTGATAGACATGATGTATTGATGATTTAATTAGGGATTCAATTCTTGATACTTGCTTGAATCAATTGACGTGGTTTTGAATTGTATTGTGAAGTTGCTCATTATTTTACTTAATCGAAAGAGGAGTTTAATATTGAATTTCTTTGCATCCTATGCTTTAGTTTAAATTTGTGATTCATTGTGTAATCGAAAGAGCCTCTTGAATTGTTAGTTGCAAGAAAATAGGGAAACATTCGTGAGAAGTTACATTTTAGTCTAAAACCATCATTATGTTCGCATCAATGATTCGGAATGCTTCAATTGTATTATTTCTGGGAATTAATATTTAATCGAAGATGAACTTTAACTTCAAGTATAATCTGATTATCTAGTGAATTCGTAAAAAATCAGTAGTAATTTAGAAGTGAACTAATTCAAGAATTGGATCTCGAGTTAGTTATCTTGCACCTGTCTGGTCAATGGCCCTTACTTCTCCCACTAATATTTGTGTTGCTCAACTCTTGTTTTTCGTGATCGATTTATAATTGTTTTAATTTTAATAGTTAAGTGTAGTTGATAATTATTCAAATCAAAGTGTTAATCATCCTGGGTAGCAGTTAACTGAAAATTATTCAAATATTATTTAAATCTAATTCATGTGGAGACGATAATTAAACTATATTTTTAGCTAGCGGTCATAAATTTCTTGTTGTAGTTTGCGATTGTCAAATATACCTAACTAGTTACAGATATCTTATGTTTTTTTTTTCAAAAAGCATTCGCACCCCTAGTACAATGGAAATATCTCTTAAGTTTTTCATAGTATAGCGATGTAGAAGTTCCTGTTTGCTAAAAAAAATGTTGATTTTTAAAAACAAATAATATATCTGTAATTGAGTCATTATATTTGTGCGAAATTTTTATAGCATAAGATGTGCAAGTGTACAAATAATATAGGTAGGAAGTCATTTTCTGAACATCTAACCAATTTAATTTTATTACCAAAATTAATGAATACTAGCTAAGTAATAAGTATCACTGTCCTATCTTTAGTTTACTTAATAATTTATAATTACCGAATGATATAAATTGATTAGTTTCTATGGATGCAAAGTAGCAAGTATTAGTGTCAACAAAATGCATTTTAGATTTTCTTCTCCGCCTTGCATCAAAGACTTGTTACTTTTTTCTCCACTAAAATATGCTATCTGGAAAGTCAAGAATTTCTTGTTTTGCTAAAGGAGCTACAGTTTCATGTTTCTCAAATCTCATCTATTCAAAAATTCAATAATCAATTACTAAAAATGTCTTCGGCTGAATAAATCACAATTACGCACTAAGTTTATGATAGAAGCAGGCAATTTTATAAAGAAAGATAAAAGTAAATTACATTTCACTGCCAGAAAAATAATCTTCCCAAAAAATGGCGAAAATAGCAGAGGGAAGGGAGAATTTAGAGCACCGTGAGAGTAGAGAAGATACAATTACATTTACCTGGACAGAGAGTGTAAAACAGACAGCCTTCAATTTCAGTTCCTGGGCGAATAGAGAGAGGGAGGGAGGGAGACGTTAAACCCTAGGCAATCGAACAAAAATATTTCGATGATAAAAATTCTGTTGGGAATAGAAGAAAGATCACGGGCTTAGTGGGCTATAATGTTCATCTGATATGCCTATGGAAAAAAAAGGATTAAGGGTCATATAGCTATTTTTTTAAATAAAAAATTAGTCCAATTTTAATTATCATTTTAATTAAACCAGTCTAAGACTACACGCTTTGTGCATATTTTCGATGTCAATAAGTATATAATTATAAAAAATATTATATAAGTAGTATTAAACTATAATTTTGAATTATAATAAAAATAAAATATTCCGATGTCAATAAGTAAATAATTATTAAAAAAATTATGAGGAGTATTAAACTATGATTTTGAGTTATAATAAAAATAAATATATAACATTCTAAAAATATATATGTTGATCCCAAGTCCAGCCCAATGAAAGTCCTTAGAGTTTTATAAGAATATCTTATAAAAATTATTGTTATTTTTAAGCCTTAATACTAAATAAAATTAAAATAATTACTTTTATCATGATGAGGTTGGCCTGAAGCTCCTACTAGAAAAATTGATAAGTAAAAATATAGACTTAAAAATGATTAATATTAAGTTAATAACATATAATAATAAATTAATATATAAAAATATATGGAGATATTATTTTCTAGAACATTTGTAAAAAAAAAGTAGTAATTAATAATAACTCATTGAGAATACATTATTTCTTCTACTGTTTTATCCTTATTATTTAAAGTTTGCATACATTAATAAAAAATAATTATTGCATGTATGTCGTTTTACAGTTATTGAGAAAATTCTATACATTTAGAATAGATGATGTTTGCAAGCCGAAATAATTATTGTGTGTA